TCATCAGCAAACTTTAGGAGCTTGACAGAGGGGTCCTTGGAGATGCAGTCGTTGGTGTAGAGTGAAAACAGCAGAGGGGAGAGCACACATCCCTGGGGGGTGCCTGTGCTTATTGTCCGGGTGCTGGATGTGGTTTTCCCCAGCCTCACCTGCTGCTCCCTGTCTGTCAGAAAGCTAGTAATCCACTGACAGGTGGGGGCAGGCACAGTGAGCTGGGTCAGTTTGGAGTGGAGGATGTCCAGGATGACAGTGTTGAACACCAAGCTGAAGTCCACAAAGAGGGCCCGTGCATACGTCCCGGGGGAGTCAAGGTGTTGCAGGATGTAATGCAGTGCCATGTTAATTGCATCATCCACTGACCCATTTGCCTGGTAGGCGAACTGCCGGAGGTCCAGCAGGGGGTCTACGGTGTCTTTCATGTGGGTCTTTTTTGTCCTTCGACATGTTATCATTAAACCAAAACCGATAAAAGATTTGCTGTTTTGCTCAACCTTGCTTGACAATCTTTGTACCATCTCCTGCCCTTTCTCCCCTTCGTCCACCTCTCTGCAGGGCAGTGCATGCAGTCAATACCCCCCTCAAAAAAAACACATCACAAATGAAGGCTAGAGGTGATTTATCTCTTCACGTCAGCGTTAGTGGAAAACCATGGAACAGGCCAGTTAACACACAAATTACAGGATGGGGACGCAGAGCACAGGCCTCAGAAGATTAATGACGTGCCCTCGTTTAGGTGTTACACTAAATGTGACAGTGAAACTCATTTCTTAGCTGTCACTTTCACACATATCTACTATCTTCAACACACACACACACGTACTTATAGCTTTGTGAGGACCCTCACTGACATAATGAATGCCCTTGCTCCTTACCCTAACCATCACAGCTAAATGCCTAACACCTAACCTAACACTAAACCTAACCTGAACCCTAAAACCAAGTCTTAACCCTCAAAAAGCTGAGAACCAGCCAAAATGTCCTCACTTTCCAAAGATTTTCTCACTATGCACACACACACACACCCACACACATTTGAGCAGGTCTATAAAGGACCAGGAAAAAGCAGTAAGGTTACTTCAACATAAAGAAATGTATATTTGTAAACAACAAAGAATAATTAAGAAAAATAATGTGTAAATAATTTTATTTACAGAAGTTTATCTGCACTGGAAACTGGCTGAAATATTCTAAGGCTCATTTACTAACTAAAATGACTTGAGAAGGTTGTGGCTTTTGAACAACACACACTCCATTTATCATTTATAAACAGCACATAAAATAAATGGTTTATGACAGTGTAATGTAGTTGTAAGTAAACATAAGGACATTTTATGTGCACTGATGTATTGATAGATTTGTCAACAACTTGACATGAATGCCAGAATACAGTACAGTACAATGCACAAACACACACACACACAAATACCTCTCGAACAGACGCTGAGAGTAATCCAAGTGAAGGCCAAACAAATGAAGGAGCACGGACCAAGTGTTCAAGTGATTCTGATGTCTTATCATTAGCCTAGGGATCCACATTATGCTTCATTGCAATTGTGAGTGTGTGTGTGGACAGCTGATTAAGTGTTAAGATGGGACAACTACTGTACTGTATATACACACCTGTGAATGATCTAGGAGTAGAGAAGGTTAAAGCATTGGTACACACACAACCAATGTTTCTCTCTCTCACAAACAAAAATTACCAGACAACACACCCATATAGGCACACTGATAAACAGGAAGTGAGAAATTAGTGAGAAAGATGAACACACACACAAACCCACACACCTTGCTACTCATTCCAGCTGCATTTTTACCTGTCAAATTACAACAGAGGTGGAAGGGATGTTGATGACAAGGTTACACTGTATTTCCAATTCAAAGTGTCTTGATGGCGGCAAAGTTTCAACAAAGCTGCCGAAGCACCAAAATACAATTTCTAAATAATTGTGAGAGCTCATTAAACTCTTTGAAGCTGAAATTACAAAGCTGAACTGTTTAAAATTATTTTTCCTTATTTCACTGAGTTTTTGTTTTTACATTGTAGAAGGAAGTGTATCTCTGTCTCAACTTCACCTAACCAGCAGTGACTGGTTTATGGAAACTGAGCCTGTATCTGGTTAGGCTCCATCTCTGCTGTGCAGTAGAGAGGCATTCTGTCAATTCATAATGTCTTTTTAGGGTTAGATATTTAAAATATTTACTGCAGAACAAAACAGAGAAAGAGAAGGAAGGTAACTAGTGCTTTAGAGTTGTGATATTCTCTGTGGTCCCTCTTATATTGCAACAAGGCTCTGGAAGCTACAGCGTTCCCCCACTGAACCACACACACCCATTCATATTCCTCCCTCTGACAAAACACATTATTACTGGGTAACACAGTGCAGCACTGCGAACTTTTATTAATAGGACTATTCAAGCAAAGAGATAGAGATAGAGAGAGAGAGAGAGTCCTGCATCAGGGAGTGCTGCAGTACTCAGTGACCTGGTCTCACCAACAGGAAACTTTGCCAATTCAAAGCTCTTTCATGCGTACATAACAGTAAATAAATACCCTAAAACAACACGCTCTAATGAGCAGGTAAATAAATACCCTAAAACAACACGCTATAATGAGCAGGTAGATGCTTATCAGCTTCCACATAAATTGTCTCCCTCTGCCAAAATCAGCTTGTGTATCTACATAAACACCAGCCCAGTAGAGTAAAGAAAATATTATTAGTAAATATTGTCATTATCCCCAGCATTGTAAAATGTGGTCTTCTAACTTAATCAGCATCACTGTTCAGCCAATAAACCTTATTCCTAAACATTATTAAAGGTGCCCTGCAGTTCAACCACCATAATGTTTAAATGTATGAAACCGTGAAAGTATGAAAGCATAAGGTAACCACTGGAAAACAGATAAAGAGCATCCCATCATACTGTAGCACAGTGTGCTCTCGGGTGGCTCGATGGATCAGTTTGACATGATCAGTGACTGAAACCAGTTGCTCTGTGGTGTGTAAAAAACTAATAATGCTCCTTTATGATCTCAGCAGGATCCGTCTCTTTCAATCAAACCATCTGCAATGTCAGCTCCACATGGAGAGTTCAAGTACGGCTAAACCTAGCTGCAAAGAATTTCAAATTAGTTTATTCACTTGTTCTCTTATATTTCTTGTCCCAGCAGAGATTTCTGCTGTAGTTGTAGCACTGGGTAGAAAGCAGAGAATAAAATATGTTCAACAAGTCGCCACAACAGAGAAGAGCTCATTTAAAACAAAGCTCACCGACTATGAAACATTCTATGAAACAACTACGAAACAATCACAACTTTCTAACTATGAGTTTCAGTGCTCACAAAAGAGTATAGGTTAAATAAATCATGTTATGTAGCCCAGAGTCTGATCACTAAGCACCCATGCTCTGCAACATCGTCTAGTCAATCTACAGTAGGTTTGGAGCCATGGTGGAATCCAACATCTTGTTTGCTTTGGGCCTCAGACAACATGAGTGGACACCACCTACATTTAGCTGCACCTAGAGAAATACTGTACGTGTAAAAGGATTCCTGCTCATTTCAAACATCAATAGTTTCTTAAGGAAAAACCCATCTAAGATGCACTGTAGTATTTGAACTCTTTGTCCAGTTCATGAGTACAAGTCAGAGTAGGACAGAGCAGCGCCGTCTCTACAACAGGCAGGGTGGCAGACCGAGGATACAGATGATGCTGCTTCAGGACCTACTTCAACTCGACAGTGTGTGAGTGGGATGGATGTGAAAGAGCTCTGGGGGATGTTGGCTCGCACATTCACCGCTTCAAAACAATCTGAAGATGTCAAAGTTGATTCATCAAACCAAATGTGTCAAAAACTTAAAAAGTAGAAAGCTTGAAGCTACAGTATGAAACTTAAGGTAGCACTAGCATGAAGCTCCAAATCAGTCCACTCTGCTCCACCCAGCACTCTCTCTCTCTGCTCCACTACGATCTGCTACTCTCTGCCCAGCTTTTCTGGTATGTTATGAAATTACAATAAACGAGAATGCACAAATACTACTGATTAAGCAGAAATAATTGAAACTCTGATTAGAGAGGTCAGTCCTGCTCAAAACTTTTTAGAAGCTAATATCTCTGCACTGCTGCCAGTGCTGTTCAGAGAGTCTGGGTCACAGGAGGCTTCCACAGCACCTCTCTACATTAGGACAGGTTTTGGAGCATATCTCTATAACAAAAAATTTGAAAAAGTTACATACTGTAGCTTCAGTGGATAATATCTTTTTGTGCACTTGAGCTCTAAGGGACATTCTGATGTAAAGACATGGTGCTAATGAGTTTATCAGCCAAGACAGTAAAACTGACTATAAATAGAGGAATTATCTGGCACGGAGCACTGTGCAACAACCAACGCTCACTCTATGTACCAGTGTTGTTCAAATTTAGCCTCCTTATAAAACAGATTACAGCTCTTCACAGACCTGTCATCGATCCCCTATTAGTCCAAAACATGTCAATGAAATAGACCAGAATTTTTTTTTGAATGTGTAGACTTTTCCTCCAAATAACAGCCGTGTTGTCCAGTCTCTGTGAACTGCTACTGTACTGTTTACATCCTCTGCAGATTATTTAAAGTTTAACCTACCAGCCTAGTGGGTAAAATAACAGATGTAAGCCCCAAAACTGTGGATCAACATAAGCACATGGTCCCATGATTCACCATCACAATTCACTTCATTACCCTGATTAGATGTGTGGGCATGTTTGTTTAGAGACTAGGCTTGATTGACCCTATTGTTACAGTTGCCAAAAATGATTACTTGTGCACTGAGTTTGGTGACCACAGCACTGCCCAGCTTCAACTTGAGGAGAGGTGTGATTATGAAAAATAACTAATACCTTCAGGGTGTGTAGGAGACCAAGGCCACCATTTGTAAGAGCAACACATTTTTTTCAAGCACTGCAACATGTCAGAAAGATACAGTATTTTACTAGATGTATTAAAAAATTCCTACAAAAACAGAAAAAAGTAACCACAAGTATTTTATTTAGTGCTAAAATCTTCTTTGAAAAGTAGAACCTTCTGCTGGTACAGAACCGAACTAAAACACTGACTCTATCCTTACTGATGTCCAGAGCTCCTGGTAGAGCACTATTAAATTAATTTAACATTACCTCCTATTGGTTTACTGGCCAATAATGGAGATGCTGGTAATGATTAGGCATATCTCAATGATTCCATTAGACTGTTCCATGTCTGTGCATCTGTGTCAGCAAGAAAACCCTCACGCACGCAGTGCTACCTGAATATTTTTGTCCATTTTCCCCTCACCTCCTGCCTACACCTCTCACCTCCTCTTCCTGCTCTCATTCATATATGTTGTGTAGCTTTTCTAATCATCTAATATAGATTTAATGAAGAGATTTATATTTCTGACATGGCCCTTCACTTCTAGAATAACAGTAACAGTATAGTACGTAAGCATTGTGCAAGTACAGTGCAGCTTTAAAGGACAGGAGCTGTGCAAATATGTATATGGTAGACATGTGTGCCATTTCTAAACACATCATCTTATACTGGCTATATGGAAGGGGTAACGTTTTTGTCCACCTTAAAATTTAATCCATGTGAAAATTACTTTCACCCATTTCCATTATGGTATTTAATGAAACAAATTTGAGATGTCTTCTACTATAAGGATTAAAAAACATCTGTAAAGTAGTAAGTATTTTACATATTTATCTCTGACAGGTGTTTCGTTATCTGAGTGACTCTTAACAAATATGATGCTAAAGATCAGGGCAGACCACACAGACTTATTAGGAAAATAATAAAAACAGGGCAACAAGTTTCATTACGGTGAACCTGCAGAGCCATGGCCTCTGTGTGATATTAGATGTAGGACTCATTTGTATTCTCCACACATACAGGCAGAAGAGAGCAAATTATAAACAGACACACACCCCCAACACACATACACCCACAGCTGAGGTTGTGCTACTTCGCTCCTTTAAGCCAACGCAGGTCAGGCAGGTTGGACAATAGTTGCCCCTGTGCATTTGTGATCATCACTTCAACGCACACTTCACCTCCGTTTCTTACTATTATGCTCATTAAAGTTGTCTTACCATTTGTCCGGCTGGTCCGATCTCTCCTCTCTCTCCCTTCTCCCCAGTAACACCCTGTAAAACAGACTATGTCATTACATCTCAGCTGGACCAGCGGTCTCACACACACACACAGATACTGAAGGACTGGAAAAACAACATCAGTTATAATAATAAGATGCTACACCACCACAAGTCCCCAAAACAGCTTCAGCGTGCTTTGGAAAAGATCCTACAAGCGGCTGGAAGTCTCTCTCAGCTGCATGTCAACATTTGTCAGTTTATACTGGCAGGTAGTTAATAGCTCGATATTAATCCATTTCCAATTGCACACGTTTCTTGACCTTACTGCAGACACATGGGAGTGGTACGACACAACACAAATTTTCTGCCTGTGTTTCTACCGTAATTTAATGTAGCAGTGATGCTTGGGAATAATAATAGTGAATTTGGTTTCCATATTACATTTGTCTTGATCCAGCAGTTTCATTCTAAAGAATGTTTTACTTTCAACCTCTAAATACAAAGAAATTTTATCTTAACATTAGAGCCAGCTATTTCTTCTGAGAGAAGGAGTCATTCTTCATAAACTACACTTATTCCAGAATGAAATCATTAAAATTAGTGAACTGTGGAAATATCCATGTTGTGAAGATATTATATTACATTGTCTTTCAGCACACACAAAGTAAACACACACAAGCAAAGTCTTACTGAAGGCCCTTGAATAGAGAGTCCACTGGGTCCTTGAGGACCTGGCGGTCCCAGGGGTCCAGGAGGGCCACTTTCTCCTACAGGTCCTTGAGGTCCCTGTGAAATCAACACACCTGATTTCAATGTTTCAAGGTTCATTCTTTTAAGCAGCATAAATGAGAAATCCTTAAAGTGCTCTGAATTAAAGAAAACATGAACATTTCAATTTGAACTTCAGTTTCGTGACAATAAAGACAGCCCCCCTTCATATACCGAGGATTCAACTTTTGACCATGAGATCCATTTTAAACCCTTGTACAACCTGTCGATCTCTGTGCACTTCAGTAACAGCAACGTGGAATCCAATAAGCACTTAAAATGACATGTAACAAACTTAACAGAAGAATAAAAAGTATATTAGATGGTACATTAGATGAACGTGACAATTTTAGGTCTCAGTTCAATTGTATTAGTAACTTCTAATGAATGTTTGTCTAATATGTGACGTAGCACTGCTATATCTGCTGAGGTGTGTGTGCATTTCCCTGAAATGGGGGCTTTTGCTAAAACAGGCTGTTTTTATTATAAGATGTACGCCAGGAAATAGATGGATCCATCTACAATCAGGGTTCCTGCAGCAGAGTCAGAGAAGAGAACTTCCTGCACACCACCAGCACTGGCAGCTTGCTGGCTTAGTGGCAGCCAAAGTAATCTGCACTCCAGCTGTATTTACTGCTTTACTACTGCAGAGTGACTAGCTTTATGTGTTTCTTAAACACAAAAACAAATGTGTTATGTCATATTTAACTAAATAATAAGTCTCACTAAAATATGCTCCTGTCTGAAGAGATAAACCAAACAAGAGATGACAGAACTAAAACTGGAAAGTTCATTTTATTAGCTGCGCAAGTTTTTTTTTTCTTTTTTACCCACTTAGGAATTCTTATAATTCCTACACTATGTATCAGTAACTGATTAGTGAGGATTAATTCATGGAGGAGATGGTCTCATACAACAAAATAACTTTTCAGAAATAAATTTGGCTGAAGATTAATATATATGTGTGTGTGTGTACTATACAGTACAAGTGCTAGCAAGCCAGAAAATCACACCTCACTCCAAAAGTAATAATTAAACCAATAAAACATAACACACATTTTATGTATTAAAAAAAAACCTTTGTATGAATTCAATCCTGCCTTGATTTCATTCCTGGGAATTTCTAGTAAAATGTGCAAAGTTTTAAGCTCTGGTGGGCTGCTTCATGTACTACACTCAATACGCTGTTGCTTGTCAAAGTAAGAGGGACATATGGTTGAGATAAACAACTCTTATTGTCTTGATTGACAGCTCTGTCTGAACAGAAACCGCAGGACTCATGAAGCTTTTCATCAAAGTGGAAAAGCTTCAATAACGTATGCTTTTTCAAATTTAATTACAATAATGGGAACTGAAACGTTTCCAACAGCATCAGGCCCTGTACTGACTGGCACAGCTGGATGGTTTGTTAAGAGTTTGGAACCGAGTGCCAGAGCAAAACTATAGCAGATGCTAACTTGACAGTAAAACTTTCACTAATAATCTGAGGCATGACTTGATGGAGCAGTGTCAGCTAAAGACAGGACAGTGCCTTAAGTCTAAGGCCAAACGGAAGATTAGGCAGCCTGGAAAACTCACACAAGCTATCTAAAATGGCAGGTGTTTTCACATCCGGTCTGGAAGATGGAGCGGGCTACCACTGAGGGCTTTACTTCACATCTCTAACTTAATTCTTTTTATCATCTAATCACTGGGTTGAACAGAGGATTGGGATTGTTCTGTCCCAGGTGACAAATTAAAGGTAAAGGTGTGGATAGGAAACTTCAGATTACTGCACAAGTAAAATGCACTATAAACAAGTCTTTATAGTTTTGCGGACTCTCCATTATTTTATTTTAATTTTTTTTTTATTTTATTTTATTTTATTTTTTTTACAGAGGAAAGGGGCTAGATGGATTCACTACCAGTACAGCACACAGAGTTTATTCTGAAATCACGAGGTGCTTCAATGTCCAGCCAGTGTGAGAGAGGGTGGAAGTGTGAGAGAGGGTGGAATCCAAGATGCACCACTCAGCCATAACATTATGACCAATATTGTATACACAAGAGTTAATGTAGCAGTTGGTTGGCCCTCGTGTCACTGCAGCTCACTTCATCTTCTGTGAATCTGTTGGCTTCCATAGTTCTACTCTCAGGAAGAGGACAAGTTAGGGATAATTTTTTAGACTCCCCACTGTGATATCACCACTGATAGTTTCTCCTAATAGAAAACGGTGTCCATGACCCTGTCTCCAGTTCACCATTTGTCCTTCCTTAGACACTGTTGGTAGGTACTGACCACTGCAGACCAACAACACCCACCAAGACCTGCAGTGTGGGAGATGCTCTGACCCAGTCATCTCACCATCACAGTTTGGACCTTGTCAAAGTCACTCAGATCCTTACACTTGCCCATTTCTCCTGCTTCCATTCCATCAACTGTGAGGACTGCATGTCCACTTGCTGCCTAATATACTCCACACACTGACAGGTGCCACTGTAATGAGATAATTAATGCTATTCACTTCACCTGACAGTGGTCATAATGTTTTGGCTGACCGGTGTAGCTTTGTCAAGCTTCAAGGGTCAATTAATTAACCTTTATTAAAATCACAAAAATTATGCTAGCTCCCAACATTTTACGTTCTTACAAACATGGTATTCTTTGTGTGTTTGCTTTGTGCCACAGCGTATAATAAAAGTCTGCCTGGAAAAATTCAGTTTAAGGTGCTTCCTCTTCCCCAGCTTGGAACAAACTACAGTGCAGTGGCTAAGCCAAAATCTGTAAAATAAAGGCCATCTCAGACATATTTTGCGCCAGAGGTTTTACAGAAGGATAAAGGGTCTGTCAAATCAAGTGTACATTACTAACCGTCACTCCAGGCTCTCCTCTATCCCCCCTGGCTCCCCTTATGCCTGGGCTGCCCTGAAACACAGACCGAACACACGCTGTCAAAGCAGAACATGGTGTTTTCAAACTGTGTGCCTAAAAAAAAAAAAAAAATACAGCTGTGCAAAAACATGTATCACACAGTCTCCCTTTCAAACATAGAAAATAGGGCTCATAAAAGGAGAAAAATGGCACTTGAACTGTTTAGGTCTTTGATATGAACAGATTAATTTGATGGACAGAGGCCAATGCAGATCTGTGCTGTGAACTGCCCTTTTGAGCTCTGCACTTTATTACACAGCATTTGTAAGTACCAGCAGGAGTGTGGAGCTGTAAACCTCAGGCTAACCCATCTGCTCAGAGGTTTATCCAGGGACAAAATTAACAGATCTCCTAATCATTGTCCCATTTGGGATACTGTACATCCTCTGTGTTTGCTTAAATAGGTCTCCCATGAAAATGAAGGGGGTTCCTACTGTGTTATGAGAAGTGACATGAAAATGTGCTCATAGCTGACCGTCAGTCCTGAGGAAAGGATTTTACTGTACATCACCTTTTCCACTATTTAATAATTGGCTGATTTTTTTCCAGTTCTATCTTCACATAAAATTCACATGTCCACGTGAGTGTTGAAATAGTTATATTGGCCTCTGTAATGATTCCTGCTATTTATACTGGCTGTGAAGTAACCTGCTTGTGCAGTGCATTTTTACACAGTCCATCAGCATCCATCAACTTTGGAGTGGTCTTGGGAAAGGATCTCTTAACTGCCACTATGGAGAGGAGGAAGAATAACAACCAGTAACTCTTTCAACTACATACTGTATGTGCTGAGTGAAATAAGAAGCTAGAATGTATCCTTAAAATTCTCCTTTTGAGAGTGAATGGAACTTTAGATTCAAATGCAACAATTCTACCTCTGTGAATTCATGTTATAAACAATTCTAATTGATTATGGTTGTCAATTAAGTTGTTTTAATGCATTTTTGCAATCTGTGTGAACCCCCAAGACTTGTTGGAGGTCAAACAAACCTGCAGAGAAACTGAAATCAGCTTTCAAAAGCAGCAATACAAATTAATGTGTTTGGATTTTTCATGGGCCTTTAATGGCAACAGATAAAAATGACGCATCTTTCAGCATTTAACTGAGCAGTCCCATGGTAAATTTACATTTTTCAAACTTTGATGTCAAACAGCATGGGCGCAATTCAATTTTAACAAACGACGCTGGCAGGCGGCACGTCTTGTTTTCCTTAATGTCAGGCTGATTGCTGAATTGATGCTCAGTACTGAGAAGAGTCTGTGCCAAATTGGGCAGCACAGACTGCAATTCAGTTGCGGCAATCAATATTAATTCAACCATGACTCAAAGGTTTAGAAAACTGAAGTGGTCTGCTGCTGTGCAAGTCAGGAACAGATAAACAGACAGGTGACAAATTAAAGGAAAAGCTTGTGTAAATGAGTGGGGAAACATAATGAATGCAAATGCTCTGCTTGTCCTGGTGGGAGTGGTTTCTCCCAGCACGACAGAGCACGAGGGATCACTGAATGGTTTAATGAAAATGAAGTGAATCATATGGTACGGCCTTGACAATCACCAGGTCTCAACCCAGTTGAACAGCTATAGGAGGTTTTGGACTGATGTGTTAGACAGCCTCTCCCAAACCATTATCAAAACACCAACTGAGGGAGTGTCTTTAGAAAGAATGGTGTTCACCCCTCCTGTAGAGTCCAGAGACTCAAGGATCGCTGAGGTTGTGGTGAAATGTGGTGGCTCCAACACCTTACTAAGACAGTCTGTGCTGGTTTTTCCTTTCATTTGTCACCTGTTTGTACATCTGACAGTGAACACAAACATAGATTCTCATCAAGAAAAGCACACTGTTTTATCTGCACGCTGGAGAATAGGGTTTTTTCTCTGTCAGTATACTGTAGATAAATAATATAAACTTCCATAGTTTCGTAATCTTTCATGATAATTCTTTGCTCTCCATCTCATCTTGCCTTCCACTTCTCTTCTCATGGCAGCATTCTGTGTGTTTAAACACTGCGTCATACTGTATCTCCAAAGATCCAGGTATTTATTTAGCTTTATTCGCACTCCTCAGTTTATCAGAATGAGCAGTGTCTCAGCGGTGCAACAAGTGATTCTGCACACGTCCACTGTTTACAGCAAAACTGTTTTCACAGTCTGTTAGGATTTTCAAACTTTTCCTGTCTGCGGGAAGCATCTCTTCCACTGTGAATGCGATACATTTATCATGTTAACAACCATTATATTGTTTTGTCAAGGGCAATGGTACTGCCTTTTCATTATTCCTCAAAACCCCACTGACTGCAGCATGCAGTTTTAGCTATAATTCCACCATTAAAAAAAATTTCACCTACGCCCATATGCTGCAGTTACAATGTGATTTAAGAAGCCCATTCAATTCCAGAGAGAGAACCAGACAGAGAGAGACAGACGGTGGCACAGAGAGGCATTAAGTGACAATAAAAAGGGAGAAGGAGAAGAAGACCCTCAGGCATGTAAAAGAAAAAATACAGAAAAGGAGAAAGAAGGACAATGGAAAGCTGAGAGCTATACAGCACCGCTATTGATCTCTGGTTTGGCCTGAGAGCAATGGAGTGAACGAGAACAGGAGAAGAGAGATGGAGGTGACAGACAAAAGCACAATACTGAGAGAAAACACAATAAAAGGAAAATAACGTGTCTAAAATAATTAGTCCTTCAGCTTATTTGTTTTCTGACAACAAGCAAAAATATAAGAAAATGAGATAAGTCATTTATTGCCCATTCTTGAATCGACTTGTAGCTTAACCTGCATAGCATGTTTTTCATGGCTCAGTTAATTTTTTCCTTTAGTAAAAGTTTCTGTTTTAAGGGTGGAGCTTTAAATGCAGAGACAAAGGCAAAGAGATATAGGACACTAGAAACGAGGGCCATGGCCTGTGGATATAACCCTAGTAAGTGTAACTGGGTTGTTGGACAGGGCTGGAAATTGGAAGGATTGTAATCGGTTGTGATAAATGAGCCCACCATATAATTACTTTCTCACACTATACCAGTGTTGATCCTCCTGTCCTCAGCATCCAAGTGCGGAGGCTGAGACATAGAGGAAGAACTTAGGATGGGAGAGAAGCATAAATATATATAGAGACAAGGAGAGAGGAAGAATGCAAAGGCTGAGTGGAGGACCTAGAGGAAAAAAAGAATATAAACAAAAAGTCTCAGCTCATCTACTTGCTCTTATCTCTCAGGTTCAATCAGGCTGCTGCACTACTGTTGCTCATCTCATTCAAACATACTCTCACCTCCAGGAAATGCCTAAAGATTGTGACTGTTTTCATTAGCAGACAGGATTTTAAAAAACCATTAACAGCAAGAGAAAATGCTTTGAAATATTATTTGATCGAATAACAAGAGACTAACTTACTGTGCACAAACACTGTCCTTGCATGACATTTGTTCAGGCACAGTTTGAGAAGAAAAGTGACACTCAACTAGTGTCACTTTTCTTCTTCATACATTGATGTTTTAGGTGTTTACATTGTTTTGTGTGTGAATTACAAAGGGGAAGAACTCGAGTCACATGACTTCAGTCAAATCCAGATTTGAGGACTCGAGGCCTGCTTGACTAACATTGGTAAAAGACTCGACTTTGACCTGGTAGTCGTGACTTGAGACTTGACTCAGACTTGAGACGGATGACTCGAAATTAGTTTTATTTATTAAATGTTTGCATTTTTCTAGTTATAGAGAAGCAATGTTTTGTTTTTGAAGCAGAACTGAGTGATTACTAGTGCAGTGTGCGAAACCCTGGTAGAGTGCGGGAGATCAGCAAAGGCAACACAGGTCTCAAGATGCAGGCATCATGGAGGGGCCTAATCCAAAAAATTTGGAATGAAGGATCATTTTGATGATGACAGTAGTAAAAAAAATACAATCTGAGGCAAAAATCAGAGACATGACCACCATAACATCCAACAAACTCACAAAGAAAGGTAAGTATGTGAAAGTGTCTTTTCAGCAAATGTCAATTAGCTTATTGGCTGGTCAGACATTAACTAGAAAGCTACTGTTAGGTTTAAGCTGTCAGACTTGGCTTTGAATTGACTGCACAATAAGAAGAGCTTCTGATAGCCATGCCTTTTTGATTTAATACCTAAGGATTAGTTTATAACCTATGAATAGACAATAATCAGGGGAGGCTTGAGAATGTTACACTTAAATACATGACATTCCCATAACATTATCAGATCCATAAAAGACATGATTGACTTATGGTAGGGACTAGACCTGCTTAATTATCACCACGGTAACTTGGGACCTGCTCGTGACTTGCATATGTGGAACCTCTGGAGAATTAAATACGTGATTTATTTTTGCGTACCAGCTTACCTCCAACTGCCCTTCAGGGACAATTAAGTCAATTGAATTAGGGTGAATTGAGTTAATTTCTTAACATTCAACAGTAAATTCCAGGGCAGGAAGTGAACCTATTCATATAGCCACCTGACTGGCAGGCTGTTTCACTCTAAAGTTTGCCATCAGTGTTTTATTGATGGCCCAAACACTTTATCTAGAATAGATACAAACCTATTCTAGGTAGTCAAAGCAAATGAGTGAATAACTGATGGAAAGGAGAAGTGAAAATGCAAATTAAAAAGTTGGCCAATAAATGCACTGAGGTATGAATAAATGACAGAGGGGGAAATAACAGATGCATTGACAAGAAGGGAGACATCTGAAACCTCTCAGATAGGCCTCTGGAAAGGCAGGGTATGAGTGATTCATTTATTTATTAATTAAATGAACAGATAACTGAATGGAGAAACAGTGATCTCTTACAGGGGGGCCAGAGGGACCTGGAGGTCCTTTGCTGTCTTGGGAGCAGGTACAAGCATGAGGCATGGCAGGGCAGTGCTCTTCAACTCTCTGAAAACACAAATATACACACATACAGTACACAATGCACACCGACTGAGTGCGTGGGTGACTTGCCCTCCATTCAAGCAAGACACAAACAGCATCACTTAAAACTTGACCTACATACACATGAAGCTTGTCAGCACACAAGATAATGATGGTAAAACACGTTCATCACTGGTCAACTTGTCCTCAGGTGTCTGGATCAGGGCTTTGACTCCCAGCTGTCTGTGCTCAACCTGTGGTTCAGTACAGTCTGTGTCTGTTTCGTTGTCTTGACTACAAAACAACTAATTTATCACATCAACTTTACAAACATGCAGTACACATACAGTACTTGCACCGAGGAATTCATTAAAATGTTATGATTATACATTATTTATGGGATTGCATTATACTAGCTATGTTTTTTAAATACTGCCCCTCGTGCATGTGATCTGGACAACAAAAACACTATAAATATACACTAATGCAACCCAGCATATCACCAACACTATTTGCAAGGTATGAATCACCACAGAGGTTAATCAAAACTTTTGTTCTCTCTGAATGTCAATAAAATGCCATTCAGAATAATAATTAGGTAAGAATCACATAAATGTAACCTTATTGAGTTGCATCAGATTGCAGGTATGCACAATTAACTGGTAACTCAGTATACTTTCGCAAGAAAAGTACTGACACTGTTTGCAATTTCCTGGTTTTCTGCATAAATTGGTCATGAAATGTGATCTGAACTTCACCAAAGTCACAAATATCAACAAACACTATATTTTTAAGCTGATAAAACACAGTCATGATCTTTCATTTCTTTATTTAACACACCCATTGAACATTCATATTGATGGCTTGTAAAGACAACATTGTTTTATTAACTGGTTCAACCACTTTTGGCAGCAATAACCTCAAACAAGTACTTCCTGTAGCTGTGGATTAGACCTGCACAACGTTCAGGAGGAATTCTGGACCGTTCTTCCTCACAGGACTGCCTCAGCTCAGCCATATTCTTTGGACGTCTGGTGTGAATAACTCTTGAGGTCATTCCACAGCATCCCTATTAGGTTGAGGTCTGGGCCACTCAAAAAGGTGGATTTTGTCTCTAAAGCCATTCTGTAGTAGATTTGCTTCAAAGTTTAGGGTCTTTGTCCTGCTGCATCACCCAGCTTGTTCTGAACTTCAGCTTGCAGACAGCCACCCTGACATGATCCTGTAGGATACCTTCATAAACTTGGGAATTAATATTTCCCTCCGCAGTGGCAAGCAGTCCAGGACCAGAGGCAGCAAAGCAGCCCCACATCATGATGCTGTCTCCACCGTACTTTACTGTTGGAATGATGTTTTCTTGCTCTTTTTACACCGTACGTAGTGTTGTGTATTCTTCCCAGACTATTCTACCTTTGTTTCATCTGTCCACTGAACACTTTCCCAGTAGTGTTGTGGAATGTCGAGGTGGTCTTTGGCAAACTTCAGGCATGCTGCAGTGTTGTTTTTAGAGAGGAATGGCTTCCTTTGTGGTGAACTGCCATGGATACCATGCCTGTTAACCAACCTCAGTGGGTCCTTCAAGTCTTTAACTGTTACTCTAGGGTTCTTTTTTTACCTCACTGAGCATTCTGCATTGTGCCTTTGGAGTGATCTTGGCTGGGTGCCCACTTCTATGGACAGTGGACACAGAACCAAGTTGTCTCCATATATAGACAATGTCTAACTGTGGACTGAATATCTGAAGTCTGTGAGATGACTCTGTGACCCCTTCCAGCTACATGCAAATCAACAACTCCTGATCATAGATCTTCGGAGATAAGGTTAGGTAACAGGGTTAGGGTTAGTTTTAAACCATGCCTCCTTTTTTTGTTTCATTGATTGGACTCCAGGTTTGCTAACAACCTGACTCCAGTTGACATTTAGGGATATCAGAAGCCTGGTGTTACCATTAATTTTTCCACCTTCACTATAAATGTTTGTGTGTGTTCAATAAAGACATGAAAGGTCATGATTGTTTGTGTTTTATCAGCTTAGAAATATTGTGTTTGTTGATATTTGTAACTTTGGTGAAGATCAGATCACATTTCATGACCAATTTATCCAGAAAACCAGGAAATTGCAAACAGTGTCAGTACTTTTTCTTGGAGCTGTATCTGTCTGTTGTGTATTTGTATGCCCATGGTGAGGCATACTTGGACTCGACTTGTGTGAGCCTCAAATGCTCATTAGGTGAATTTCTATCACTTACTGTAAATTAAATGACCCACTTGTCCATAAACATTGTTAGCAGCAGCATTTCTTTGCCAGTGCTAATAACCATTCATCCAGTGCAGACTGTAAGCAATTCGGCGTTAATTCTACTTACAGCATCCTGTTTTTGTCAAAACTCAGCTTGATCATTACTACAGTCATGGCTCTAATCATCCAAGGCTGTAACATTCAGAGCGCACACAGACAGCAGAGGAGTGGTGGAGATGTGTGCAATGGACTGAGTGTGAGAGTGTTTGCTTCTTACTAATGCTGGCAGCTCACAGCACTTATCTCTGCTGGCCCAGGATGTACTGCAGATGATGTCAAACATCTGGAGCTGGAACTGTAAACACACACACAAATGCACTAGTAAAGTTGCGCACACACACACACACACACCCCAATTCCAATAATACTACAATTACTATATTACCAGCACATTTAAAAAATCTTAGCAGAAGTGACACAGGCAACATTTAAATGGAGTATTAACCATGGTACTTTGTGTGGTTTTGCTGTGTTTTCTGTGTCGACAAGAAATGGAGATAGTTTCACTGTTCTAATGTCATGACAAGTGCTCAAAGACAGACGTGCAGTCGATAGCTTCAACAAAAAAAAAGTTCTCCATTAGTCTTAAACTAAAGACCAAGTAAAAAATTTGGTCATAGAATGTTGTGTAACTTTTTTCTTTAGCATTAAGACTGCAGAAGGGCCCTGCTGACATACACTGCTTATTTTATTAGATTAGATAGATATGGTATTTCTAACCGTTCATAAAACAAACATCCCCCATTACCTCAGCCTTCAAAAAGGTTCAAACTTAATACATGTATATATCACAGACAAACACTGGGAAATCCCCTCTTAGTTTAAATGACTATGACAATGTTTTATCTAGGAAGTTAGATACACATGTTTGCAGACTTGGGTGAGATTCTGTCAATCAGTGGAAAAATGTTTGTTTTTCTCTCTGGTACTATTTTGTTTACGGAGTCATAATCTGTACAGCTTCAGAAAATAATAGGGTATCTGCCTTAGGGAAATTGGACTGTACTTGTCTTGGTCATGTTTAATTTTATCTCAACGTTTACATGGTGCTCTATGTATTATTATATGGTAGGGGCCTGAAAGTCTGACATGGAGCAACTGGGCCATTTTTCAGTTAGGAAAACTTGATTTAGATGTCCCAGTTTCTGCTAAGTTTAGTTCAAGTTAAAAAACATCTGGTGTCTGTTGTCATGACATCTCTATCAAATGTCAAATTGTAAATACCATAAGTAGTCCAATTTAACTGGAAAATGTATGACAGTGATGTGACTCCAGTGGTTTTAATTATTAAAAAATGAAGGCCTGCCTTGTGCAAAACAGTCTTATCTCAGTAATTATAAACCTTCTATTAGCGCACCACAGGGTGTTTGTTACAAACGAGACAGGCACTTTCAGTCAAGCTGGAACCAAAAGATACCTACTGTGTGTTCAGGTTGTAGTTTTCACCCAGATTCAGTCAAGCTGGTCAACTGAACCATGGCAACAATGTTACCATCTGATTTGATTCGTTGATGCTGTCACTACTGTAATCCTGTCAATCAAGCTCATCACCTGAAAATCCAGACTCATGCTGTCATTATGACAGTCGAGTCCCATTTTAAGAGCTCCTAGAAAACTAGAGATACAGCTTATTGTGGAGCCGAAAACAAAACAGGAATCCAACTAAAGACCAATTCAAAGCACAGACAGTACACAACAGTATACACACAATGATTTGCATGATCTAGAAGCCAGGTAACACCACCATTAAGGTTTCATTTTTTGCAGAGACGTTTCTCAATATGAAGTGCAACATATTTTAGAGTCAATAATCTCTTTACTGATCAGTTAGTAAGTGGTGAAAATGTCACATTTTCTGCATTTCCTTTAGAAAAACACTTCACACAGCATTTTCCAGCTGATTGTTTTTGCAGTAGTTCAGAATTAGAAATTCACTGATAGCGGTGCTGAGTATTCCCAGAGGCCCAGGATATTGCACCTTCCTCCCTCTGTGGGTGTGCCAAAGGTTTTGTACTCGGTGCTCCATAATGGAAAGAGCACAGCTGACAAGGTACATTTAAAGCACTTTGTACATTTCCACTTGCAATAAATAAAACGGTCTCCCACTGAGTAACTCCCTGAAATGGTTCTGGATATTTATGGTTGCTATTTGCACCACAGTGAAAATATGAGTTTACTTTAATGAATATGTGGAACAGATTGTGAAATAAACTTATGTTACTTTAACTTGAAGATTTTGTCAATTTCTTGATTTTGCCAACTCTCACAAATTCTACGGCTCTGCAAACTTTCCTTCCTAGAGGACATCATTCAAATGTCAGGACCAGTGGGAACCCAAACACACAGGAATGCATTGTTTATCGATTCACTGTGTGGTTAACAATAACAAACAAAAATTCACACTGACTGAAGCAGATCTGTCCCGTGTGCCACTGGAATGAACCATCCTTCCCAGGACCTCCTCTCCATCAGTGGTGATGTTGCCAGCTGCATTTATTGGTTTCTCCCCAACCACAGAACAATCTAACACCACCTTCACGGATGTTTTGCTGATGGTTACATGGAGCTGAGTGGAAAAGAGTGAACACAAAACATTAAAAAGAGCATTTTCTAACCACAAGGAATCAATCACCTTTGTTCTGACTCAAACATTTTGATAAGACAGCAACAGCTTACTGAGATACAAACTGGCTAACCACATTATTTTAGCAACTATTTTTTCTTCATAGTCAAATGATGGTAAAACACTTGCCACTAGCCAATTTGTCTCAGGTCTCAGCCAGTGTCTGTGTGGTTCCCTTGACCAACTAATTTATCACAACTTTAAAAACCTACAGTCCACTTGATTATGCTGAATTTAAATGTTTAAATTATATGCTATTTATGGGATTGTATTTTATAAACCATGTTTCCACACTTATCAGCCATAATATTACGACCACTGGCAGGTGAAGTGAATAACACTGACTATTTGTTACAGATAGTCAGTGTGTGGGGTTTATTAGGCAGCAAGTGAACATTCAGTCCTCAAAGTTGATGTAATGGAAGCAGGAAAAATGGGCAAGTGTCAGGATCTGAGTGACTATGACAAAGGACCAAACTGTGATGGTGAGATGACTGGGTCAGAGCATCTCCCACACTGCAGGTCTTGGTGGGTGTTGTTGGTCTGCAGTGGTTAGTACCTACCAACAGTGTCTAAGGAAGTGAACTGGAGACAGGGTCATGGATGCCCATGGCTCACTGATGATGAGGGTGACCTGCTGTAGATTAAACTTTTAAATTGCATTCCTTTTATAAAGATTGCATTTTGTTTCAATCTTTGTCAACAGGGTTAAAATACTATATTTTGGTCTCTATGAAGAGAAACATTCAGAGGCTGTAGTGGTGATATCACACCTACAGTGGGGAGGCTGTTGAATTTGTCTAAATGATTATTTCTGAAGTGTCCTCACAAGCACAGTTTTCACTCTGTTTTTCACTGAAGAGTCATCATATCTGTTCTCTTCCTGACAGTAGAACTGTGGAAGCAAACAGACCCACAGAAGATGCACAGTGAGCTGCATAGTGACACGAGTGCCAACCAACTGCCACATTGACTCCTATGGACACAGTATTAGGCAGGCGGTCATAATGTTATGGCTGATTGGTGTAATACACTATGTCCCTCAGGTATGTGAGCCGTACAAGAAATCTGAAACACAAATATTCCAGTATACGTTACTACAGGCCGGTACATCATCAACACTAATTACAGCCTAACAAATTACCACACAATTGAATGAGAACTTTGCTCATCTTTCTAAATGTTTTTATACTGTAATGTCATTCAGAATCATAATTATACTTTATAAACATCATATAAATATAATCTTACTGAACTGTATCAGACTGCAGATGTGTACAATTAACTTGTAACTCAGTGTATCTGTTGTGTATTTGTATGCCTGTGGTGAGGCACACTCCAACTTGACTTGTACTGTATATAATACACACAATAAAGATAACACTGGTCACAGCTACACTCGTTAGATGAATTTCTATCACACACTGTAAATTAAATGACCCACTTGTCCATAAACATTTTAGCAGTTGGATTTCTTTGCCAGTGCTAATAACCATTCATCCAGTGCAGATTCCAAGTAATCTGGCTTCAATTCTAATGGTACTTCTTATTTACTGTATATTGCCTGTATAACCATCATTCTTGGCTTAAATATATAACCAGACAAAACACAAACAAGTGAGAAGATGGACTATGGAATCATAATTTTAACTGGAGCATTTTCACAGGTGCCACAACAGCCAGAACACTACAGACCATCTCCTGTGTTTATGACTAGCAACAACAACAACTGTTCCTTTGTTGTATGTAGATAAAAAAACAAAAAAGACTAAAAACAGAACACAAATGAACCCACCTAGTCATAATGCCTATGAGTGCCATGAACTGTGAAATTCAACTGGCCCCATGTTAAGTGAGCAAAGCGACCTGTATCCTGGTGAAGGACTGTAATAAATGAGCCCATTAGCACCATCATGTTTCACCATTCTGGGAGCTTTAATCTCACTCTCTTTCGCTCTTTCATATCTTCAGTTAAAAGTCATCAGAATGTGTGTAGCACTGAGACATCTACAGACACACAACATACAGTAACAAGGTGGGTACAACAACAAAGAAAAATGAGGATGGAATCCAAGTATCGTGTTTTTTGTTTTGTGCTGCTTCTAGCAGGTCAGATGACTGGTTGGAGTCGACAGAATCCATCCACAGCTAAAACGACTGCCAGCACAAGACGAATTGGCTCCTCTCTCACACTGTACACAGATAAACTGAGTCTTGTTTTTCTAATGCTACTGCTGTTTTACAAATCAACACTATCTATCCAAGGCACCTCATTTGTTTGTCTCCCTGTCAGATGGCTTTACTTTTTATTATCATGTTTGAGACAAAAGACAAATAACCTTTTCTTAACTACTGACAGTACTACAGTATCTGTCATTTTACACACATGACTTTGCAGTAATATTACAAATTTAATAACCCCTTTGGGCTTTGAAAGCAAAAACAGTGAGCTATCAACTTCAGTGTTAAATTTATTAACTAGAAATGCAAAACAAAGCTAAATCAGTTGGAACAGCAGAAATTGTTTGTGCTAAATTTCACATAGATGTTTTGCAGATTGATTGAACATCATACACTTAGACCACAACAATCTGAAGATCCACAGCGTAATAACAAAACAGA